TATATATATGATCTACTGGTAGTCTTAAAACCTACTTATAAATTAAGATATATATTTAGCTATCATTTGGACAAGATCAGTAATTAGTGGGTCACCTTGAACTGCTTACAAAGAATTATTAAAGTTAACCCTCACTCAATTGCACCATTAATCCAGGATGGTCGTAATTTCGATCCTTTGAAGATAATATAGACACTTACATGGTGTTAGCAATAGACGCTTGGAAAAAGAAGCATCAATCAACTGTCCTGTAAAATGTACCTGCTGTAAAGGTGGTCGTTGCATTTGCTGTTGTAGCTGCTGTGGAGGTGGAAGCGGAAAGTTTTGCGTCATTTGAGGGGGTGGCATTACTGGCTGATTTGCTTGTCCGGGAAATGATGTATGCGGCGGCTGGAAAGTTGGGCCTTGTCGCAAAAATGATGATTCCACCGAAGTTATGACCGGATGTGCTGAGCCGTCAGGCGATATATCGCCTAAATTTGGTGGCGGTGGAGCAGTGGTGTGAGGAGGCGGAGGGACTAACTGTCTCGAAGGAGGCAAGGCTAAAGATGGGTACCGTGCCGGATCTGTAGCAGACGCAAGTGGCGGCGGAGGCGGCGGAAGAATTCCAAGTGCAGAGGAGATAGTGGGGTGCAAAGGCGGCGGAGATGGCGCGGATGCTGACACGATTGCCGTCGGAGGCGGAGGAAGAGGCGCTGCTGGCGCATTCGACTCAAAAGAGCTGGTTTCGGGGTTACCAGGAGGCACTAGTTGACCTACTTCTTGGTTTGGGCAAGGTTTCTGCCGATAGAAATTGTTAAGAGAAATAAAAAGAATAATTTCAGCGAAAATAAATCCAAGAATATAACTATACGGATATTGCTCACGTATATAAAAGCTATAATAAGATTTATGAAATTGAGAGAAGGGATAAAATCTTAATTACAACAAAATGAGACTTCATTAATTATCGGTGAACTAAATAAAGAAACGATAGGATAAACTTTAATATCAATGGAAAAAGAATAGTAACAGATCATTTTAGCCAAATTTAAGGGCTCTTTCCTAATCTGTTTGATTCCTAAAGATTGTATTGTCCATAAAAATAATCGAGTTGATAAAACCAAATTAATG